CTCAATCCTTGGGTAGGAAAGATCCCCTGGAGATGGAAGTGGCAACTTACTCCAGTATTCTTGCCTGGGAAAATTCCAAGGACAGAGGAGCCTAGCGGGCTACAGTCCATGGAGTCACAGAGGAGCCAGACACGACTTAGTGACTAAACAACAACAAAGGGAAAACTAAGCACTGGAAATATAAAACCTATAGAGGCAAGGAGAGTAAGAGGTCTGTTCCTCCCACCCCCAACTTTTATAAACTTTTAGATGTATTTAGAATAAATAGCTTGGAAAAAGGAGCAAGTCCATGCTGAGTTCTTCGCCCATGTTATGAGTCACCATCATTGGAGGGTTCCTTTAAACTCAGCTTCTGAAATCTTGCCTCCCTTCAAGAGAATCATTAACCATTGTTTTATTTCTGCTCTTATTTCCTGTCCCCGAATGAGGTTTGGCTACACTTCGATGTTTGACTTGTTAGCTCTGACCATGTAGTTTAGAAGAAATTTTAGAAACCTCTGGTCTGGCCCCAGTGTGGTTGTTTCTATGAATACCACTCACTTACTTTTATTTCTTGTTACTGGTGGTCCAAACTAATCACCAGTAACTGAGTGTCTTTACTCCCTTATTTCTTCCTTTGCCAACTATCCAGAATAATTTTACTTTCCTTAAATAGTTTGTACATTAAGAGCTAATTGTGGCTTCAGAAGCTTCTACTAGAGGGTGTTCATGAGCAACACGTACATCAGCAAATTTCAGCCAAAATTTAAGTTGACTTCAGTCTGAATTGAATGGATATTTCCATATTTATAGGGAGTTTTTATGTCCTTTCCCCCCAAAAATGTAACATTGAGTGTTGAGTTATTAAATTCCTTAGGTAAAATAGTTGCCTCTGAAGCTATATTTGCTTTACAATTTTCAGTGTCTAGTACACTTAAATCAGATTTACAGAAAGTTTATCTAACTCTCATTCAATATTATAATCAAAACAAATTAAATTATAATGAGAACTTTTTCTGTTTTAAGAATACACATCAACCAATCACGTTAGTTATATTTTTTAGCTCTGTGCAGAATTTCTTATTTTTTTTAGCCCTTGCCCTCTAAAAAAAGGTTAAGTTGAATTATAGGGGAGTTTTTCAAGCATGCGGCCAGTTGAGTACAAAGTTTCCTCATGTGCAGAGTGGTGAAGTAGTTTTAACCAATTGCCTCTGAATAGGGTGTGTGTTGGGCTAGTGCAGCTTATTAATAGAACTGCACGCATGCATTTCATCACTGTAGCGCTTTGTTAATGAGATGTCTTACCACATCACCTACACGTGGTAGAGTATGAATTGCTCAAATTGAATGAATTGCTCAAATTCTGTTCAAAATTTAAAGTATGTTTTAATGTCCATGACTGAACAAACTGTGTTTGTATAAAAAACATAGTGTTGAATGAAAAGGGTTTTTTATTAACTTTAACATTTTTTTATTTTATTTTTTAATTAATTTTTTAAACAGTTCTGGCTTTTAGCAATTTAAAGTCCACATTTTATTGCATTTCTTGTCTGAGTTAACCACTGAAAATTAAATCTAATAAATAAGCTATGTTACTTAGAAATATCACAAAATAAAGTGAAAATAATAAAAGAGTAAGCATAACATACAACGTCTGTTTTCATGCTCAATAAGAAATTTTTTGGTAATGCTTTCTTTGATGATTTAGTCTTCTTTGAGTTAAAAGGAAAACTTCATTTTTAACAGTTTTATTATTTTTATGAGTTTTCCCTAGATATATTTTTTGCTATTTTAAAGGTTGAAACTGCTCTCTAAGCAATGGTGAGGAATATTTTCTAAAACTAAATTTATCTGTGAATTTATACTGCACATAAAAAACTCAAAGTAATATCATAGAAAATATTTTTGGGTCCAAGGAATATTATAAAATTATATGTTAAATAATAATATTTATAAAATTATCATTAACTATAATTCATTTTCAAACATATTTTACCAGGCTTCCTTAATGCTTTACAAACATTAATAAAAATTCAGTTTAGTTGCTCAGTCGTGTCCAACTCCTTGTGACTCCATGGACTGCAGCACGCCAGGCTTCCCTGTCCGTCACCAACTCCTCAAACTCGTGTCCATCACGTCAGTGATGCCATCCAACCATCTCATCCTCTGTCTTCCCCTTCTCCTCCTGCCTTCAATCTTTCCCAGCATCAGGGTCATTTCCCAATGAGTCAATTCTTCACATCAGGTGGCCAAAGTATTGGAGCTTCAGTTTCAGCATGAGTCCTTCCAATGAATATTCAGGACTGATTTCCTTTAGGATTGACTGGTTTGATTTCCTTACAGTTAGTGTGATTTTATATAATCTCTTTGAAGTATAAGAGGTCATTTATAAAACTAAAGTAGGGAGAATATAAACATCTATTGGATGAATATAAAAATACAGAGCAAATCAGTAATGAAAGTGGCTAGCAGTCTGAGAAATCTTGAGAGCTAACTTCTTATCCACTTCTTATATTTCACTGTAATGTAAATATTAAAAGTTTGTTTTCTCAGATCTACAGAGAAAAAAATCAATTGCAAAATATCATGGAATAAGGTGAAAAAGGTACCTAAGCTAAGAGCCTAAGCGTACTGGCAGGGTAGCCTACTTTGCTTCAGGGGGTGATTAGAAATGATAGATTCCCTGCAACACCTGCCAGGTGCAGTGTGCTCCTAGAGACCAGCAGATGTTCCAGGCCTGGTTTAATGCTTAGAATTATCAGGGGAGTGTCAGTAAACGCAGTTGCCTAGAACACACCTGAGAGTCCCTAAAGGGTAGGCTCAGTTATCCATGTTTAAAAAAATACAAATCACCATCCTACTCCAACATCTGACTTTAATGCTCAGTGATCATGTGTTGGCTGCTCATTGGGAACCATTTGTTTTCACTGTTTGTAATTGCTAACGTGGACCTTGTATTCAAATCGCCTCTAAATGTGAGTCTCATATTCAGAAGCCCAGGTGTAGAAAACAGAAAAAAAAAACAAACACAAAAAAAAACCCAGAAGAAAAAAAACCCACTCCCTTAACCATGTTGAGTAACTAGATTAGATTCTGAAATGATAGGAGTTTCAAGGTACAGTCCCTTTTTCTTTTACTTCTTATGAAGGCGTGAATTCCTAAGAGTTACATTTTATTCTTGAAAAGGAAAGTGGAGCAGATGAATAAGGAACATGGGAGTGGGGGTGCAGCTTAAGGGGTTAGAGAAACTGCTATTGGCCTGTGTGCTTTGAAGTTGCACCCTCACGGAGAGGGAGCCTGCCCAAGTTTAGGCAATAGTAAGCTATCTTTGAATGAAGAAACAACTCTGAGAAAAGAGACCGTTTCTCTGATTTTGGGGGTGCTGTTTAATTTACTGTTATTAATTCATTCCTTCTTTTGAAAGTTTGCAAACATAAAGTCACATAGTAAATGACTGCTAAAGTCTGTCTCCTTTACACTTAAGCACAGTGCAACCTCCTCTCCAGATTGACTAGACAAATATGTATGGAAATGTTTTGAAAACCAACGATAGTGCAAACATATTACTAGCCTTAGTTATCTACATGTCAGTCTCTCCTTGCTAGTTTTCACTCATTCATCTCTGTTCTCAACATCTAGCTCCTAATAAACACTTAATAAATGAGTGACATTATTTTTAAAAAAAAAAGGAAAAAATCACTGAAAGAGTAAAAACTGAAGGCTTTCTTTCTACAAATATATGCCCCTCCCCATGAGATACTGTGTAGCTTTAAAAATCTTTTTCCTGCAAAGGCAGAAACAGCTTATATTTTTGTATCTAATTAAATGGAACTGTATTATTGTGTGGTTTTATTTAAGTCTTTATGATGTACCTGGATATTTTCAACATCAGTGTTTAAACATTATCCTCGATTTCTAACCACTGAAGGATAGTCTGTAGTATCCACATAATGACATTTTTCTGGTGATTTCCCTATTGAATGGGCATTTTGTTTTGTTTCTTTGTTTTTGCATCTGGTGTCTGAATATTTCTGTAAAGTAGATTCCTACAAATGGTCCTGATTCTAAAAGCACATGTAATTTTTTGATGTGACGCCAAACTGCCCTTGAAAAGAGCCTGTCTTAGTATCTGTCACCCTAATAGTGTGTGATAATACCTACCCCCACATCCCACCAGCCTGGGTACCATTAAACTTCTTTCTTGTGTTAAATCACATTTAATGGAGAAAATGACATTTATTGTTACTTTACATTTGTTACTATATACTTTCTGAACACTGTACCTAAGTCCAAAATATACACACTGTAATATAAATAGCAAGTGATGTATTTGATTTACTGTTTATCAAACTGCTGTTCTGTTTCTATTTTTTAAAATTTCTGTTAAAGCATAATTTTATATATAAGTATTGTTTCTATATATCCTAATTTATATAACTGTTACCCTATTGTTGAGCATTTAATGTCTTTTCAATGCCTGACAAAAATCTCAGCTGTGAAAAACCCTTGTACACGTGTTTTTTTTCTCTTCTTTATGAATAATTTATTAAAATAAATTCCAGTTAGTGATATTACTGGGTCAAAGGTTTAACTTTTTATGACTCAGTAAAGATTGTTAAATTGCTTTACAAAAGTGATATATCATTTTTTATGATCAGCAAGATCATATTACTACTGTAATAGATTCTTGACTAACTTTCTGAAGAATGTTAGATTTATTATTCTAAATTTATATAACTAGTATAAGTTTACTTTCATAAATTGTACTTTGTGGATTATATACACAGAGAATGCTGATATATATATTTATATTTTCCATGTTTAAAAATTCTCACTTTATAATGCTAACTGAAAGCAACAGGATACACAATGAGGTATAAATTAAATATATCAAATTATATATACCTTAACAATGGATAACTTTATTTTTTGTTTTCTCCTAATTAATCACAGTGTGTATTATACCAGGGCTGAATGTCTGTCACATATTTGGGATCAAAAGGTCTGTCTCTTTCTTTTAGGTAATTTACCAGTGGTGTGGATCCTCTTGCAACAAGTATGAGCGTCTGAAGGCCAGCCAGGTTGCCATTGGCATTCGGGACAATGAGAGGAAAGGAAGATCTCAGCTAATTGTGGTAGAAGAAGGAAGTGAACCATCAGAGCTTATACAGGTATTATGAGTTGTGTAGGTTTTTAAAAGCTTGCCACTCTGAGCTGTACGTGTGAGTGTGTGTGTTAGATTAAATAACATCTCTGATAGGCTAAGATTAGGTAAGAGGATGTATCAGAGTTTTCTAAGTCATGGTACTAGGAGAATAGAGTATCACGACTATATTTCCCACCATTGGAATGACTCAAGGACTGATAGGTGGGCAACACCTTTGAGATTGACTGTAAGAAAATATTTTGGAAGAAAAACAATAGTTTATTTATTTGAGCTTCTCAACTTTTTTTTAATGTAGTGATATTTTTCAATTTTAAAATTAATTATTTCATTAATGAAATAAAGTCTTATACCAGGAGATTAAATACACCAATATTTTAAATATTTCAGTCATTTTAAACTAAGAATTATAGTATAGGTAGGGCACTTATAATTTTAGTATAGTTGTTAAATTAACATGAATTGTCTATATGGCTCTTTACATCTCTATCATTTACTTAATCAGTATACCAGCCCTGAACATTTAATTGTGAACAGTTTTTCTATTTTAAGAAAACTACAGTGAGTACCTGAGTCTATATATTGTATCAGTTCAGTTGCTCCGTTGTATCTGACTCTTTGTGACCCCATGGACTGCAGCACGCCAGGCCTCCCTGTCCATCACCAACTCCTGGAGTTCACTCAAACTCATGTCCATCGAGTAAGTGATGCCATCCAGCCATCTCATCCTCTGTTGTCCCCTTCTCCTCCTGCCCCCAATCCCTCCCAGTATTAGGGTCTTTTCCAATGAGTCAACTCTTCACATGAGGTGGCCAAATTATTGGAGTTTCAGCTTCAGCATCAGTCCTTCCAATGAACACCAAGGACTGATCTCTAGGATGGACTGGTTGGATCTCCTTGCAGTCCAAGGGATTCTCAAGAGTCTTCTCCAACACCACAGTTCAAAAGCATCAATTCTTCAGCACTCAGCTTTCTTCACAGTCCAACTCTCACATCCATACATGACCACTGGAAAAACCAGAGCCTTGACTAGATGGACCTTTGTTGGCAAAGTAATGTCTCTACTTTTTAATATGCTGTCTAAGTTGGTCATAACTTTCCTTCCAAGCAGTAAGTGTCTTTTAATTTCATGGCTGCAATCACCATCTGGCAGAATGTGGTCCACTGGAGAAGGGAATGGCAAACCACTGCAGAATTCTTGCCTTGAGAACACCATGAACAGTATGAGAAGGCAAAATGATAGGATACTGAGAGGAACTTCCCTGGTTGGTAGGTGCCCAATATGCTACTGGAGATCAGTGGAGAAATAACTCCAGAAAAAATGAAGGGATGGAGCCAAAGCAAAGACAATACCCAGTTGTGGATGTGACTGGTGATAGAAACAAGGTCCGATGCTGTAAAGAGCAATGTTGCATAGGAACCTGGAATGTTGGGTTCATGAATCAAGGCAAATTGGAAGTGGCCGAACAGGAGATGGCAAGAGTGAATGTTGACATTCTAGGAATCAGCAAACTAAAATGGACTGGAATGGGTGAATTTAGCTCAGATGACCATTATATCTACTACTGTGGGCAGGAATCCATTAGAAGAAATGGAGTAGCCATCATGGTCAACAAGAGTCCGAAATGCAGTACTTGGATGCAGTCTCAAAAATGACAGAATGATCTCTGTTCGTTTCCAAGGCAAGCCATTCAATATCACGGTAATCCAAGCCTATGCCCCAACCAGTAATGCTGAAGAAGCTGAAGTTGAACTGTTCTATGAAGACCTACAAGACCTTTTAGAACTAACACCTAAAAAAGATGTCCTTTTCATTATAGGGGACTGGAATGCAAAAGTAGGAAGTCAAGAAACACCTGGAGTAACAGGCAAATTTGGCCTTGGAGTACGGAATGAAGCAGGGCAAAGGCTAATAGAGTTTTGCCAAGAGAATGCACTGGTCATATATTGTATATATTCCCTTAAATAAGATTGTCAGTCAAAGGATGTAATCTTATTCAACTCTCTAAATATATGTTGGTAAATTGATTGCCATTCATTTATCTAACAAATATTTATTGAATTCCTATATGAGCTAGGCCCTAAATACCTGTACCTATTGCTGCTTCCTTGCATTAAGTACTGTGTTGCTTCATGACTTTACAGAGCCCTGTCAGCATTTCCTATCATAGTACCTTTTTGAATCTTCCCACTTTTCTCTTTGAGTTTTCATTTCTCCAATTTCCTAGGATATTACACCTTTTCCCCCAAAGATTTTAGCCATTTGCATTTAAATTTTTCTAAGGACAGTTTTATAAACATATATTTTTAATATTTTTTATTTAGAGCAATTTAATCATTAGAGTTACCTGATCCAATGCTAGGCTACATAATCCAGTAAGTGAAAATTATATAATGGAGTCATTTTATTGATTATAGTGTCTTTAAACTTTTTTACTTTAATAATAACCACTAAACACAAAGTTCCCGTTAATGTTTTGGAAATAATTTGAATTCAAAGGTAATTCAAGATAGATAATCTTGGTGTAATGCTAAGAGAAAGGATAGGCTGTAAAATTTTATGTGTAATATTATATTAATATGAAAGTTTATATCATATAGCTGTATGTTCATATATACATTTATATCTGGAAAGAAATATGCTGAAATATTACCAACATTATCAATGATGTCTTTGACTCTGGATATATGGCTTCTTATTATCTTCCTCTTTGTTTGTGCTTTCAAAATTTATTATAATGGATTCCTTTTATAATCAGAGAAAAAAGACCATCTGAAAAAATAAAATTAGGAATGGCTTACCTGGGTTTTCAATAGTCAAAATTACATTACCAATAAATTAGACCTCGAAACTATAGCAAATTCTTTATTTTTTCATATTTTTTAAAGACCTCTCTTCTGGAAATGTGATCATCATTTAAGTTATCTAATTCTTATATTGAGAAGCAAAAACAGTAAATAAGATGTGTTTCTAATTGATTGTAGCCCCTTGTTTCAATAGCTCTCTTTTGATAGAAGTGGCCCGGGAAATCCAACTGGTACTTGCTGGGAGCTGGAGGACGTGTTGCATAAACTGTCAGGCTAGCTTCTCCATGTTGTCTTGGGAGTCCCTTATCCTCTCATTGTCTCTGGGTCCTCATTAGTAAAGTCAGGGTTAGACAAAGTGGCTTCTTGGGTTCCTTTAGGTTCCAATGATCTGTGATTCCACATGTTTAATTACCAGTCACTTTAGTCTCTTCCAGAGAACGAAGCTGCTGAGGCTGAGGGCCTTAACTGGGCATATGTATTTTTGATATGTTGGATTTCATTCAAAGTTTTGAGAAGTAAAAGCTTAAGTATGACTCTGTTCTGCTGTTAAATTAAAATGAGATAATGCAAATCTGAGGAAAAAAATTTTGTAAAAATGTAACTGATTTTAAAATATTAGAGATAGGAATAAGGGACACACTGTTTAATATAAAAATGCTTTGTCTGTGCTTTAGGGGATCTTTGTTTTCTAAAAAAACTCCTAGAAAATGCCTATTTTGTTTCTATTTAGTACATTTCAACGTATACTGCGTTATGATCAACAGTTCTCACAACTGATCTGAACTGAATTTTCAGTGGAAGCCTTTTTTTGTTGTTAAAAAGCATTCATTGGGAAGTTTCATTTTTAGAAATGTTCTTTTGTAGCTTGATTACCTGGGTAAGTAGTTGTTTGATGAATTAAGTATGCACTTACGATAAACTAGTTTGACTTCTAGGCCTTCTTCATGTTGCATCTGTAACAACAGAATTCAGAAATTTCATGAAGTTGGTTTGGAAAAAAAATCACAGTTTCATTTTCACTAACCTCTTCATGAAAATTTTCTCCAGTTGTGAATGTAGTTAATAAGCAACAGTAGCACAAGCAGAACCTGTGACTTTTCAGATCACACTATGGGTATTGCAAACAACTTCAAAATATCATTTATGCTTATCACTATTTGGTAATTATGGCAGTTACTAGACTTGCTGGTCAATAATATTATGTAATGAGTATATGAAGGAGCTTATTTACTATTTATCATGTTTGTTTTTTTAACATATATTTTGATTTTTAATGGTTGTATTCTAATATAATTTATTTTCATTGTAATAGTATTTTATTTTAAACATTTTAAAAATACATTCATTAGTAGGGGTTCACAGTCTTGGCAAAAATGGTCCAAAGTGGCCTATCGCACACGGACGAAAATGGTTACCTTGTTTAAGATGATGGAATGCCACTTTTATTTTTCTGAGATTCTAATGCAACTGTTGACTTTGCTAGAGGATTCTAAAAAGTCTAAAAAATCTTTCAGAATATCTTCTAAAATTGATCTTTTAAGTGACTCATTTTTAACGAGAATTTTTAAAAGTTATATCCCAAAATTTTGAAAGTGTATATATGAAGGTTGGTAATGGCTTGAGCTCAAGGACTTTTCAACCAATTAAATGATGCAATTGTCATGACTCCATACTCAATGCTGAATTTTTGGAACATGTCTTTGTAACACATTCAAGTGATCCACACAGAAAATAACGAAAAGTAATTTTTTCTGAGAGTCTTTTGAAAAATTGATGTTTATTTAGAGGTGGTTCAACTGTCTGTTGATCACAGTATTGTAATATTTTCACACTTTTTTCATATGGCTCATCTCTAGGACGATCATACATTTATCATCCTTCAAAACCAAACACACTGGAGAGAAACGGGGGGCGCCAACCAGACAGACATCGCATGCATTAACAAGAGCTATCTGGGGAAACAGGATGTGTGGTCAACCTCTTCTCTGTATCTTCAGCACTTTTAAAAGTCATATGCCTATATAATGAAAGTAATACTATAAGCAGAACTAATTAAAGCCTGTAACTAGGGTCACATTTCCTCTGTTCTGGTTTTCTCCTCTTTGTAAGCATATTTACCATGAAAAGCTGCATATAAATTATGTAAAGCTTTTTTTCGTGGTCTTTTTTCTTTTGCCATTTAAGATAATCAGTGAATGT